GGGGGGGGGGGGCGATGCGATGTTGGGCTGCGAGTGTCGTGGGAAGTGCCTTGTGCATTTCGTTTTATTGTTTATCTATACATCGCAGTTGTTGTTTTGTGCCTTTCAGTCACATTGCTTGTTTGCTGGTTGAAGGCCCGCAGGGGATTGTGTGCCGTTTCTCTATCTCTCTCTCTCTCTCTGTGTGTGCGGCTGAACTGTGTCTGGGCGTTGTGTTTCTCACCGTTGTGGGTGCGGTGGTGGTGGTCTCACAGTCCAGCTGAGGTATCTACTAGAGTGAGGGCACCGTTTCGTCCTCGTGTGGAGGCCTGCGCTCTTGTTGTGTTCTGTGTTGTAGCCCCCGTGGGTGTGTCCCGGATGTATGTTGTTGCCATTTCCTTTGGCACATTTTTTTCTGCTTACCTGACTTCCCTGCCCCCTGTTCTGGTGCGAGGTGGTAGTGCTGCTTGGAGTCACCGAGATGCCACACACGCCCGCGCAAGACGTACTGCTCCCCGATGCGGTGCTACGAGAAGCGAGTTATACCGGCGAGGCGGAGACGACGCTCGAAGGCGTGCCTGTCCTCCTCGACGATGAACTCCAGCCGCTTGACGACACCATGCTGAAGGAGCAAGACGCAGCAGGGATGTGTGCGGCAAAGCGACGCATCAAGGAGCTCGATGAGGAACGTGCTGCGCGTGTTGCGAGGCGCCGCAATGCCGATAATTGCTTGCAGCGGGCGATGCACCGCATTATTCCGTACGGCGGCATCTTGTCATCCGCGTTCAACCTGGCCAGCTCCACGCTCGGGGCCGGCATCGTTGCGCTCCCCGCCGCGTTCCAAATGTCTGGTATCGGAATGAGCACGCTTTATCTCTTGATTGTTGCCGCGATGGTGGTGTACTCTTTTGTTCTGCTCACCATTGTGGGGGAGCGCACAGGGCTGCGGAGTTACGAGAAGTTGACGCGTTTGCTGCTGGGCCCCGGCGCTGACTACGTACTTGCCCTTCTCATGTGGTTGTTGTGCTTTGGCGGGGATGTGTCCTACGTCATATCGATGCTGGGCGTCATCAAGGGCTTCCTGCTGAACGCGGAGGGTACGCCGGCGTATCTAAAGACCTTATCGGGGCAACGGCTTATCGCCAGTGTTGTGTGGCTTGTCTTCATGCTCCCACTGTGTTTGCCCAAGGAGATTAACTCTCTGCGCGTCTTCTCGACGATTGGTGTGCTCTTCATTGTGCTCTTTGTCATCTGCATCGTTGTGCACGCGTCTCAGAATGGACTCGCGTTGGGTCTGCGGGATGACCTTGTGTACTTCCAAACAGGCAACCAGGCAATCCAGGGCCTGTCAATCTTCATGTTTGCGTACGTGAATCAGGTTAACTGCTTCGAGGTCTACGGCGAAATGTACAAGCCCAGTGTTCGACGCATGACGATCAGTGCTTTTCTAGGAACGGTACTATGTTTCGCTTTATATTTCCTTGGTGGTCTCTTTGGCTATATGGACTTTGGCCCTACTGTGACGGATTCTGTACTTGACAAGTATAATCCCATTGAGAATAAGATGATGGGCGTTGCGTACGCTGGTATCATATTAAAGATATGCGTGGGCTATGGATTGCATATGATACCATGCCGTGATGCTGTATACCACGTCATCGGTGTAGACGTCAATACTCTCGCGTGGTGGAAGAATGCGTTGGTATGTGGCACTCTGGCGACCTTGTCGCTAATTGGAGGGCTTTTTATTCCACGCATCACTACCGTCTTTGGTTTGCTAGGCTCTCTGTGCGGCGGCTCTATTGGCTATGTGTTCCCTGCGTTGATGTTCATGTACTGCGGCAACTTCAACCCTGGATCTGTTGGCTGGATGCATTTCATTGGCGCCTACGCGCTGCTCTTGGCTGGCGTCATTGCTATTGTGTTCGGCACAACTGCTGCGATATACGGGGAGGTGGCGAGGAGCTAGTAGAGCACATCTCCGTAATTGTCGCTCATTTATTTTGTTGTTTTTGTTTGTAGCGGTTTTGGTTCAGAGAAGATACGAAGGAGGGGCGCATGCCTTGCTGTGCTCAGGCGAGAACTTCTTCCATTGATTCTTTTTTCGCTTTCAGACTTTGCGCGCCTGTGGATGTGTTCCCCTGCGCAATAGCCTGACTCTATGTCTCCCGTGTTGTATTGGCGCTTTCATTCCTTCCCCACCACCACCTATCTTGTTCTTCTCGTATTGGCTCCGACCAATACCTCACGGGGTACTGTTCTTTCGCTTATGTGGTGTGTTTGTGTGGCAACCGCCTTTCCCGTCTCCGTTGCCGACTTCGCGTCACAACTTGTGCTTCAACGATATATATATATATATATATATATTTACACTTATTTACACGCTGGCTCCGTCCGGTGTACTCTGTCGTGCAGATTCTTGTACTGCCCTGGGAAAGGACATCTTCTGAGTGTATGTGTGGGGCTTCCCCCCTGTGCGTGTGTGTGTGGCGCACACCGTTGACTTTGGGCAGCTGCGCGTCCGTTGGTTCCTTCTTTCCTTTGGGGGTTTTGCGCCGCAGCCACACATTTCCCCGGCACGCTGGGCTCTGCGCGTCTGAGGCGGCTCCCGTACTCATCTAGGTGGCGCGCGTGTAGCGGAGCGGAATATAGCCACAGAGCGTGTCACGTAAAATCATCATTGAGACCGACACACAAGCACACAAACACAAATAGGTAGTTTGCGTGCATTGATAGATTCTCACTTCTCTCATGTCTTCGTATCTGCAGGACCTGGGGCCAGAGGCTGTCTCACACCGGCAGCAGGTTGACGAGGTAAAGCAGCAACTCGGCATCACACACGCTGAGTTTGACTGCTGGATCTACGGGTTCCTGGAAAACAAGAAGTTCTCCGTGGAGGAGACCGTGCTAAAGCTGCAGCGGCGGTTCGCGATGGAGGTGGATGAACTGGGGACGTATGAAATAACCGATTTTATGCGCACATCGCTTCGCTCAGGCATCATTCAGGTGATTGGCGAGGACAAATGTGGCCGCGTTGCCTTTTACGTCAACACGCGGAGGGATCACCCAGAGTCCTCGCGCAGAAACGAAAACAGATGCACGTTTGACATGATGGTGAGTTACGGCACTCGCCTACGTGCGGAGAATAAGCGGTGCCAGATGGTGATGCTCATCAACCAGGAGAAGGCGAGCTTGTGGAGCAACATTGACATGACCTTCCAAGCCGATATTGCCCTTCGAATCGCAAAGTTTTACCCCGGCGCTGTGGACAAGATGTACATCTGCAACATGAACCGCACTCTGGCAGCGATGGCGAAGCCTGTATTTTCGCGGTTGCCGCCTATCGTTTCGGACCGCATCATCATTATTGATGATNCTGACATGAAGAACGGTATGCTGTTGAACTTGTTCGATGAGAGTGTCCTGCCGGTGACGCTGGGCGGCAGCAACAACTGCGATGATGAGGCCCACTGGAATCAGCATGCCAAGGTGATTGAAGACTATTACATTGAGATGAAAGATGCGATTGTGAACCAGCATTTGACAGTGAAGGAGTGGGAGCTCCTACGTATCAGGCCGCACAGGGTGTACAGTCGCTTGGCATCGACGATTTTCGACGCGGAGAGTATGACGCAGCTCAAGACGTGCTACTCTGAGTGCGGCTCAAGCTACAACGATGACCTTGTCCAAGAGGAAATGGAGCTCCAGGATATGGAGGAGGCGAACGAGTGGAGAGCCGTCATGGAGTCGTTCCCGCCGAGCCTCTCACTCTTGTTCCTTGAGGAGCTGCAGCGCTGGCGCCTGGCGGTGACGGCAGAGGAGACGTCTGCACGCTACGCACTGCTTGACGAGCACATTGCTCTGCGCAAAGCGACTATAGCAGAGCTGCCGGAAATTGACCTTGAGGACAAGATGTGGTACGACCAGATACCGATGCCACTGCGCCAGCTGTACCGTCTTTGTCTCTTCAGTGTCACTGTCATGAATGGCATTTACTTTATTGCTGCGACAGTTTTTCTCGCAGTGCTGTCTGGTAATATTATTGTGACGCTCTTTTTGGGGTTTCTGGTGCAGTGGAACTACGTGTTTCCACTCGGGGCAACCCTTGTGATGACGGCTGTTCAAGGCATGACGCTCTGCTCCCGTGCAATTGATGTGCTGGTTGCGTTGATGTTCCGAAAAGTCATCCCTCCGTTCGAGTGCATCGGCAGGCATTGGGGTGGCATTGCACAGATGACGCTCTTTGCAGTGGTGATGGCGATCCAGTTTATCATATTTTGCGTATATGCGTCTCGAGAAACGCCACTGGAGGCCCTGCAGGTGTCTTTTGCGACAGGGTGGATAAGTGCTGTGTTTATTGTGGCCATCTTCCATGCACTGTTCTTTTTTGGCTGGATGAGCGATGCCAGGTTGCGCTTGCGTAGTGGCGGTGGGACGGTGGCATTCCCATTCTACATGTTTTTAAACCTCCACGAGAGTGAAGAGCTGAGTGGGATCCCCTACCGTGTACGCACCTCGTCTTGTGTCATTTGCGGCTTTCCCGTCTTTCTTAGCATGTTGCTTGGTATTGGGTTTCTTATCAGCCGAGCTGTTGGGTTCTCAGTCGCTGTAAGCGCCGCTTCTATTGCAGGTGCCTTTGTTGTCAACTACTACTCTGAGGCGATGGCGAGCGGGCTGAGCAGTAAGTTGCTTTGTGTCTCTCTCTGGATTGCCTCAATGGTTTGGCTTTTTGACTGTTTCGCCTTTGGCTTCCGGAATTATAGCAACATATGGGGTGTTTCGGTTATTGTGGCCTCCCTTTTGACAGGGTGGTGCATCCTCTTCGCGTTGACATGCGTTACGAAGGACGATAGTAGTAAATTGCTCCGCATTGGACTGATTTCCCTCGTGGTGCTTCTTATCGGCTGCTGGTTGTCCGTTTTTCCTGTAGTGGGCTGGGAGATTGGCGTTTTCTGTCTTGCCTTGATGCTGCACAACGGCCTCGGTCTTCTTTTTTGCCGCGCCGACCTCACTAATATTGGCGGGGTCTTCGTCTTGTCGTTAGCGGTGCTGCTTCTGGTTGTCTCATGCGTGCTGCTGGGGTGGAACGGCACCAGCCCGCAGAATATTCTGCCGCGCAGCCTCCCAAGCGCGGACGTGCCGCCTGCGCTCTCCCCGATCGTCGCCTACCACCGCTACCCCGTCTGCAGTCTTCGCATGGACGGCGGGCTTGGCATCGTAGACTTCTCCCTCCTCACGGAGATTGTCAACCTAGAGAACTCCACTGCCTTCGCGGTTGACTTCAACAACTGGTTTAACACCACTGACTTCACATATGGTGGTGTTGTGAAGCTGTTCGAGACGGAGGGGGAGCCGTGGGGCCTCCACCGGTTTGACTCAGTGATGCACAACGTTACTGTACTGACACTGCACAACAAATATGCGTTTACCTCCATTATTTCAATGACAGCGTGGCTGGGCTCCATCGCCCTCTCCCCCCTCCATATATTCCTCCCCACTGAGTGGTCTACAATGATTGTGTACATCATATCGTTCGTGGCGCGTTTGATCAACTTTTCTTGGCTTCAGCTACACCGAGAACTTGCGCGTTATGTAGAAGCCGTAAAGCGCACGGAGCCGAAGCAGGTGATACTCACTGGCAGCGGCGTGGCGGGTGGCATCGCGTCTATGGCCGGTACCGTTTCGCGCACGCAAACGTTTGTGTTCGGCTCTCCTGGCCTCCTGCACTTGCTGCGCCACGTTAAACTTGACGAGACAGACTACCACAACTACGTGCTCTCCGTGGGCGCGAGCAACGGCGTGCTGGACAACGTTGGCGGTCGTGACACTACGGTAACGCAGAAAATGCGGTGTGAATTTTCCTCCCACGTGTGTCTCTCGATGGAGTACATCTCAGCAGAGCTGCTTGATATGTGCGACACCAGCGGTCGGCGCCACGCCTCCTTCCGCGATGTTTACCTTCTGTAGGGCCAGCCACAGAAGCAGCAGCAGCAGCAAGCGAACGACGAAGCAAGAGGAGACGTTAGGGCCTGTGTGCTCCGCCTCTCGCTTCCCTCCCCCTGGCTGGGTTTGTTTTTGTTTGAATGAGGGGGAGTGGCGGTGGTGTTTGTGTACGGCGCAACTGTATTTCTATAAGGAAAGGCACGAATTTATATTGGCATGCGAATTTTTTTTTGTTTTTGTTTTTTTTGTTTTTAATTCCCCGGTGCTTTCCTTCTTTTCCTGTTGTCCTGTGTGGACTTTTGTATTTGTGGTTGTATCCACGTCTTTGTTTTTTCTTTCTTTGCTTTTCCATCGTCTGCGGCCCCCTTGCGGCGGCGCGGGGAGCCAACTAAAGGACAGGCGATGCCGCATCCGACACTGCTGGACATCGGCGTGGAGGCGTACTCGCACCAGGCGGAGGTGGACGAGCTGCGCCGGCGCCTAGGCATCAAGCACAACCACTTCGACTGCTGGCTCTACGGCTTTCTGGAAAACAAGAACTTTGACATTGGGGAGGCGGTGAAGAAGCTGAACCGACGCGATGTGTTTGAAAAGGAGCAACTCGCAAAATACACCGTGACGGATTGGATGGTGCAGAGCATGCGGAAGGGCATCATGCAGCTCATCGGAAATGACAAACAGGGACGTGTGGTGTTCTACGTTGTCACGGCACGTGATAAGCCGACATCGGCACGGCGCGAGGAGTGCAAAATGAATTTTGACATGATGGTGAGTTACGGCACTCGCCTACGTGCGGAGAATAAGCGGTGCCAGATGGCATTGCTCGTCAACCAGGAGAAGGCGAGCTTGTGGAGCAACACCGACATGACACTGCAGGCCGATATTGCCCTTCGCATCGCAAAGTTTTACCCCGGTGCTGTGGACAAGATGTACATCTGCAACATGAACCGCACTCTGGCTGCTGTGGCGAAGCCTGTATTTGCACGCTTTCCGCCCATTGTGTCCGACCGTATCATCATCTTCTCTGAGGGCGACAGAAAGGCTGGCAAACTACTGGAATATTTCGACGAGAGTGTGCTGCCGGTGGCGCTGGGCGGCAGCAACAACTGCGACAACGAGGAGAACCACATAAACTTCTCTGTGACAATCAAGGAGCACTTCGATCAGCTCAAGGCGGCAGTGCAGCGCGGCTACTCGGTGAAGGAGTGGGAGCTCGAGTGCCTCTTTCCGCACGGCCTGCCGGAGGAGACGTCTGTGAACGTCGATTTGTTTGGCAACACTCCACCGCCCTTAGCGCCAGACGGGGCTTCCTTCGGGGACGGCAACAACAATGATGTTTCGTGGAGCGATGTGTCGCGCAACTCTAATGACAATTCGCCGATACGCGCAGAGTCCGTGGACCTCTTGACGTGCGATTCCTTCAACCACAACAGCAACTACCACACGCGGGTCAGTAGCGTGAAAGAAGGCGTGTTCCCGATCCGTACACAATCCTGCACAATGAGGACGATGCGGAGAGACTTCGTGACGGATTACGTGGAACAGTTTGTGATGATGGAGTCCTTCTTTCGTGGGAGCATTATGGAAGCGCATGAACGTGAGTGGCTGATGATTCTGCAGCGCGAGTCCCCTGCACGGCGGTCGTTGCGCGAGGCGGAGGAGAATTTGGGGCGCAACACCATGCTCTTTCGCCGTTTGCCAGCCGCGGTGCAGCTCATCGCCAAGGGAGGCCTCTGGATAACGCTGATGGTCACTTCGCTGTATTTCCTTCTCGCTACAATTTTCGGTGCCATGATAGGCTGCTCCTGTATGATGTTTTTCTTCTTCTCCATGCTGTCGAAGCCGTACAACGTTTTCCTGTACGGGTGTGCGCTGCTTGTGACGGGGTGCCAGACGGCACTGTTTTGCTCCCGAGGCTTTGAACTCACGCGTCGCACGTACGATGGGCGGCTGATCGACGCCTTCCGCGGGCTCGGCTTTCACGCGCTGATTGTGCAGGCGTCACTGTGTTTTGCAGCCGTTGTCGCCTTCTTTGTGGTGTTCTGTGTCATTGCGGCGCAGCAAACTGTTGTCGATGGTGTGCAGTACACTGTGGCGGTTGGATGGATTGTGGCCTTCTGGATCATTCTTCTGTATCATTTTCTCTACGCATTCGGATTCATTGACAGCACGAAGCGGTCGCGCCGCGGCAAGATGGCAGTGGCAACGCTGTATTTCTTCTTCGATGTGGACATGGACTCTGACCACGCAGCGATGCGGCATTCAGCATCAACGGAGGTGACGATAACGTGTATTTCGATGCTGTCAGCCTTTGCGTTTGGTCTGTGCCACATGCTGAATGGCGCGGTCTTCTTTTTGTGCGCCACTGTTATCATGTCGGTGGTGACGATGCTGCTGGTGGTGCAGTTCATCAATGTCGACCACGCCCCCTCTACGGGCGGCCTGTTGCTGTCTGCGTTACTTTACACAAGCGTTGTGTGGCTGTACATTGTTTTCACCATTTCCGCTCATGGCTGGAACGATGAATGGAGCCGATCTACCAGTGTTGTGTTGTGCCTGGCGCTTCTGACAAATGTTATTGTGCTCGGCTACTCGTGGGTTCCGCTGAGCAACACCGTGATGCGGCGCTGGGTGTTCCGCGGGGCGTGGATGTGGGTCATTCTCCACCTTGTCACGTGCATTATTGCGATGTTTGCCACCGACTACCGTCTTGGTCTGTTTATCCTTGGGTTCTCCATCCACCTGCTGCTGTATGGTTTCCGCGTCAATTCGGGCTCCTCCACGTATGGCGTCTGGATCGTAGTCATGGGCTTTCTTGCCATGCTGCTCGCCTGCATCCTGCTTGGCGGTCTCGCGTCTGGACAAGCGTACAGCAGCCCGGCAAGTGAGTGGCTTCTCCCGAATTACGCAACGGGCGATAGGAGGGCAAACGCCATTGCCGCGTGGGAATCGCCGCCGGAGTCGTTGACGCCAGTGTGCTGGCTTCGCTTCCCGACCACGATAGACATTGTTGGCATGGCGCTCTTCGCCAAGCTGTCGTACGCGGAAATGCTGAATACAACACGCATTGACCTCCAACGGTGGTTTCCGTCATTCACGTATGTGGGCAACCGCACCTACGCACCCTCGTCCTTCCTGCAGGTGAAGATCTTCACGGGCACAGACAATAACCTTAACATCACCATCATTACACTTGGCTCCACGAGCGCTCTGTATGCTGCTATGGATTCTATGACCATGTGGATTGATTTCATGGCACTGTCGCTCTTCGCCGTCTTTACACCACATGAGTGGTTCATGAAGATCACCTCCTCCTTGGATGTTGTGGAACGACTGTCATCGCTGTTGTGGCTATCATCCGTTGAGGAGGCGCGCTCCGACATGGCTGACTACTTCGCATCGATGGAGAACGTGAGCCACCACGTGTATGTTGTCGGCTACGGCCTCTCCGGCGCTACTGCCGCAGTGGTGGTGCCGCCGTCCTCACAGCGCGTGCAGGGCGTCATGTTCGCCTCCCCAGTGAACGCCGTTGCACAGCGTGGTGAGCAGCAGATGACGTTGGGCCTGCCGCCGAACCGTGTGCTTTCCCTCGTGACAACATTGTCGGTGCTGACGCCGTGGTGGGTGTGGGGGCCCCTCACTGAGACGCTCCCGTGTGGTGCGACGGCGTCCGACTGCTCCAACATCGGCGCCGTCGCGGAGCTTTTGGACGGCATTTGCCAAGGCGGCAAGGCGGTTAATAAATTTTCGTCGCCGCCCGTAGATGGGCGCGATACCTTGAGAATGGAATCCATCAAGTAAGTGTTGGCACATCACCTCAAAATACGTGTTTCTTCTCGGTCTATTTGAAGTATTGCTAGCTCGTTTTTTTTTTGTTGTTGTTGTATTTCCTTCCACCTTTCCTACCGATCCCTATCTTCACGGCTGTCTCTCTCTTTTCTTCTCCATGATCTCTCTTGTTCGCCTTCCTCTGCTGCAGTGTGGTACGTAGCTTGCCTAGTAGTCCCTTCACCCGTGCTCTGTGGGCTGCATGCAGAACGCCAGCGGCCCGGAGGCGTGGGCTAGCCACAGAGCGGCGGCGCTGCTTTCCGCGCGACGCACGAATGTGTCTCCTTGCGGCAA